TTCATTTACAAAATGTAAGGTTGAGGAGCTTTTGAACACTTAATTTGAATGGCTCAAAATTAATTGGACAACAGACTCAAAACAGAAAACACAAACAAAACCCCATTTCTAAAGAAATAAATGGGAAAAAATATGAGGAGTGAAAAAACTAACAGTCTGACACGTTCTGAAAGGACTTTTGATTTTTTTTCTACATCAAAAGGCTAGGACAGTGAATGCTGAAAGTTGGATTGGTAAATTGTGGTTACGACTCAGCTAAACACAAGATGTAATGCAGGAGTTACACCTTTCATTATTCAAGTCTAACTCTAAAAGGAGATTTCACAATAAAAGTGTTTCTTTACTTCAAGGTGTAAGCTATTAGTAATCATAAATATCAGGAGCACCATAGTAGACTTTGCTAAAAAAAATCTATAAAAAAATACAGATAATAAAAAAGCCAGATTGGTTCTGAAAAGCAATCTGTTGGAGGATGAATAGGTAAAACGAGAACATTATTTTTCAAGAATAACGTGTTAGAAGAAATAAAGTATATGAAGAAGGCTTAGATCCAAAGTTTGCACCATGATCTCACTTTTAGCTGAATTACTTAGTCATTGGTGTTTAATGATGACAAGATGGAAGGAGCCAAATCTATACTCTACTTGGCTGCAGCTTTTGGCGATACATAAGGTATTCTACAGTTGAGCTAGGACTTCTGGGTAGGGTCACACCAACAAATCGCATTTGACAATAGAAAACGTACAATTTCAGAGATCTTGGACATCTATGTGAAGCAATAAAATGGAGGAAGCTGTGTTGATGAAGAAAGACATGCCAGGGGCTTTTCTTGATAACGACCCTGCTAATTATCGGTTTTCGTGCACGTTTGGGTGGGCGTGCTGTTTGGCCGAGACGGACCTTTCTGTTAGCATAGGTAGCCTAAGTCTCCTCCCTTTCCGGTCGGCTCATGGGTCCCCGGAAGAACGAAAAATATGAATGAAAGTCAATGGGGCTAAAAGAGCTATTTTCTGGTCTGCTTTGCCTTACGCCCTGGATCACACATGTGTTGTACTGCAATTTAATCGTAAACTAATGATGGGTGTTCCACCTGCGAACGAGTGAAAGGTGGAGCTAGTGGTAAAATGGATCGGTTTTTGTTGCCCACATTTCCACGGGTTCAGTCAGAAACGAATGAACTTTGGAAGTGATCTCAGACCAACAAAAACCTACGGATCTGGATGAAGAGAGTCAACCATCAACCGCTGCAGCAGTCGGGGGTTTTGCAGCTGGAAATGCTAACAATAACGTTAGCTAACCTGGCACTATAGATGGTTTTCTGTGTGGCTGTAAGTGTTTATGATTTCATGGAAAAGTCAGTGATTGTTCATATGTTTATGATGTATATTAATGATTGCTTCAGGTGTTGTTGAGGTGTTGTGCACGCATGTGTATCTGCTAGTGTTGAAGGTGTTTTAGAGAACAATAGGTACCCATGACCACTTCCTTCATAACACCCTCAATAAAAAGACTAGCTCCTTCATAGCACCTGCAGCAAAACATTTCTGGAGCCGCCACTGGCGTGCCTTAGGCTCCTTATAGCCGACTCCTGGATAACCCTCCTTCACTTACACTGCTGTCTCTCCTGGGGCATCACTAGGACTGGCTGGTCAATCTCTGATATAGGACCTTACCCTCAGGGAAAATATAAGGAACAAATGTGCGTGCTTTTCTTGATCTGATCCACACAGTTGAAATCTGCTCTTCCACATAAAAAACTACCATCACTTTGTCTTTCCAGCTGTGGTCGCAGACGTTACCCAGCTTTTGAAAAGGGATAAAAAGTCCCCTCCGACATCCGAACTGAGTATCTAGAGTGCGATTAGCACCTCCCCCAGCTGCAGAGCTCAGTTTCTTGCTGTTTGAAAATCTTTAGGAGACAAAAAAAATCCCACTTCAGCAAGATTGGAGCAACTCAGACCCATAGGATACTATAGTAAATGCCTGCTTGCTTGTATGACCCTGCATCCCAGAGTGCTTTGTGATGTTACGTCACTATTTATTTGTAGCTACTGTAGTAAACCCTATTGCTAACAAAAAAATACTGAGAGTCATAAAAACGTTGCAAGGGACTTTAATTTCCTCCTGGGAGCCACATGGCTTATTTGGTGAGTAGATTGAGTTTTGAAAATGCAAAAAAAAAAAAAATAATAATAATTATAAATAAACTCAAAGGGGTTACAGAATCATCTTTCACTTTTTCAATTATTTTGCAGAGGTCTATAATATGAAAGCCTTGTGAGTCACTTTCTCTGGAAAAGCTCTCATGCTCCATTTTCAGGAAGTAGAACTGTCAGAGGAGTGGGGGTGGAATACGGCAGGATTAAAATTCGTACTCATTAATATTCATGGCTTGCAAATTAATCTCCCCTGATTGGTTAACAGCAATACAACTCTTCCGCCACTTTTTTTCTTGCTCTTCTTTCTTGGGTAAATAATGTAACGTTGATGTTTTATCTCCACAAATGACTCAAATCTGAACATGTGCCATTATGTTGAGGAGTTGCTAATGCTAACAGTTAGCTTCTACTAGCCAAAATGCTCTCTGCTCTCTCCTGGTTTCAAATCAGCACAGCCTTCCGCTGTCGCAAGTTAAGGTGAGCGAGGCCATCGATGCAGATAAGTTTGAGATTTTTTTTTTATCTGACCATTTTCCTGTTTATTTTCTGCAACTATTGCAGGCGATGGGGTTGAAAATATTCACACTCAGAATAAATATGAACAAGTCCTCTGAGGTCAGTTTCAAACAGACAGACACAACACACTCCGACTAAATTACATTACAGTCAAACAAAAAAATATATGCTGCCAAGTGTTACAAGTATTGTTTCAGAGCCTTTCCAAACTTGTGTATTTTCTCCCAATCACAGCCCAGTGAGATGCTGACTCACTGTACTAACTTGACCAAGTTTGCTGTTCAGGTGCAAAACGGCTCACCTCATTACTAAAAAGAATTGTTGGGTGTGTAGTTTAGCATATAAATTGTCTTGTCTTTCTTGTTGACCTTCAGGGACCTTGGTCATCAACTCTAAGCACTCGTGTTGCTTTTCTGCATTTTTTTCCCAGTCTACTTTGTTATGTTTCTTCAGTTCGCGCATCTAGGTTCATCTCTCTTTCTTATTTTGTGCCTTTTCTGTGGTAGTCTGGGCTAATTGTTACATCGTTCCAGCACTGAAAGACGCTCTGTGTAGCAAGGCTGGATGACCGCCACTGGGTTCAACGCAGCATGGGAGGAAGGGAATTGGACAAGCATCGACCGTCAGAGCTGGTTAGCTTCACAGGACCCCGTCACAACTACACTCACAATGCAACCTGTTTACTACCCAGGCCCCCTGCAATTACCAGCTCCCCAGCAGGGGCCAAGCTAATGCCTGGGGAGAACTAACACTATCAGCAAAAACTGAGGCGGATGAAGAAAGGAGGGAGAGGCTTATTAAGAGGCTGAGGCTGGGTAGAGGCTAAGTGATGAATCTCAGAGGGACAAGCATGGTGTCCGTGTGTTTGTGTGTGCATGTGTGTGTTTGCATTCCCGTTGTGCATATGTGAAACAGTCTGATCCTGGAGGAGGTGGGTCAAAGTGCTGCTCTTTACACAAAGCCAGTAAAATGAGTTTAACAGTGAAAAGCAAGTAATTGATGTTAAATGTTACAGGGCCCTTGATAAATCAGATTTTCTTCTATAAATCCACCATTAACATGATTAAACCAGTAAAAGAACCTTTTACTTTAAAAGCAGAAGGGAGGATTTTAGGATTAAGTTCAAGCTCATTTTGCTGCGGGGTGTTTGTACTTGTAAGTGCACCGACCTTTGGCCTTGACCTGACCCCTGACTCACAGGGACAGTGGGGCAGTGAAACAAGCAGCAGCACGGGACCCTTACAACACAATGTTTCCTCACATCTGCTACGTGCTGAGCAGTTAGATTTGGAGAAAGGTCACTTTTAGGATGGAAGCACCATTCACTAACACTGTTTAACACAAAGGATCCATGCTAACGCTTGAGAACCAATCGTGCACATCACTTCTCTTTCCCCCACCAGTGTCTCTTCTTTTGGTTGTAGGTGATTGTAAAGCTGTGGCAAATATCTCAGTAACTCCACAGCATCACACACTGACATTGTTGTAGGATGAAGCTCTTGAGTGGAGCAGCTATCTGGAAAAAAACAATCACTGGTGCCTGTCCAAGATAAAAGAGCCTCTTAATATAATCTGGTAGCCTTTTGTTTTGTAAACAAGTTGGCCGCTGTAGTGCCCCGGACCATAAAGGCAGCTCACAGAGGGCCTGAAAAGGCGACTAAATCTGTTAATTATCAGCCGATTTGTGATTTACATATTAAGGCTGGGAGTCTCAACTCACAGGAAGAGATTCTGTTAAGCATCACTGAAAATTTCTTAGATGAAGCCAAAAAACATAAAACAGTTTTGTGGCTATAATTATCCCCCTTTGAGAGTAAATTATGACAGGAAGTAGTTAAGAAACAGTGAGTTAGGGAGCCCGTGCCACCTGGAAAAACTATTCAACTCAAGAAAATCCACAGGTTTCACTTTTCCCCCCAAGAGTATCTGACAAAAGCTTCTTTATTTCTTTAGATCCTCATTGGTGGAGTGAAATGTGTTACAAGTAAGTTTGTGCTTCTGTCGAACTTTGATCGATTTTCTTTAATTTCCTGCACTTTATCTGTACCTTTCCATGATGGAGTTTGGTATGATCCACCCTCCTTCATCCTAATCCTCCTAGCATGTTTTTCATCCTCTCCACCATAATTCATCAGATACTCTTGGAAGCCATTCCCACCTGAAATCTCATCATCTATCCAATCAGCCTTTCATCTTTCCTTTTGCAATCTTTCCATCTGCCCCCATCTTGGCCTTTTCTGACTGTGGGAATGGCTGCAGTGAAAGTCAGCTGTGGCCTAAAAGCGGAAGGAGTTTTTTCACTCCTATTTCTCCCTCCCTACTTACACTGCACATCTACGCGGATGGACTTGATGGCAGCCACCCCCACCCCGTTGTCAGCTTTGCAGTAGTAGCGGCCCCCCTGCACTCTCTGGATGCCATCGATGCGCAGCGTCTCGTTGTAGATGGATGTTTCCTGGAACTTGTCTGAAGCGCTGCCTGCTGTCTTTGTCCATCGCACCTGGAGAGAAAGGGGATATTGGAAGGAAAAGGACTCTGTTAGTGAAAAGAAGTTGAAGTGAAGGACAGAATAAATTAAAAGCAGAGCAAAAACAAAGGATATGAATAATACGTTCAAAACAATGTAAAATACAACGTTGTTTTAAAGGGAAACTAGGCAGTTTTGACTTGATTTTAGCACCCCCTAGTGTCCATTTGTAAATCTAAGAGCAAAATGCATCTCCTCATTGTGCATTTATCTTTTTAACACCATAATTTAACAGCTGAAATGTCTCCCCAGCCTTGCTTAGTGTCTACATGAGTGATTCATCACTACATTAAACAAATCAGCTGTGTTCATGATCTAAAACATGCAGGAAATGTGCCAGAAGCAGACTGCTGTGCCAGGTATGTCAGCTCATTACTTTTCTAAGGCCCAGTCCCATTACTTGCACTACGGTCATCTGTGAGGTGCACTTGGAGGAAGTGGGCAGTAAGTCTTCAAGTGTGTGGTGCACAAGTGTCCAAATAATTGCCAAATTCGGACAGGGAGTATTGCGCCATCGACCACAACACATGCTAGGATGCTGGCCGCTGTGCTACTTTTTAAGAAAACCTTTATTAACATTTTTCTAACAAACAAACAACTTATTAATTTACATTCATTGTTGCTTAGTTTAAACCCTTCAGAGGACCAATTAATCATTCTAAAATGAATACTTTCATTTTAAAATTCATTTTTCAGAAAAGGCACTTGAGCCTTTTCTCCCGTAGCAATGGATTGTGGGTAATACACTTCGCCCAAGTCCGGATCGATGCTGACTTGAGTGGATCAAGGGTGCAAAAGGGGCGTGATCAGCTTCCACAGTTGAGAATGAGGACACCCTACACAGTCGCACCCCTGGCTGGGATCACACAAGTAAAGGGCACTAGTGTGGAAGTGCGAGTGTTGGGATTGGGCCCAAATTCAACAGATTGGACCGGCAACTCTCAAGTTGCAAGTGGAATATTCTGGCTACAGGGGGCAATAGGGGCTGTGGTGGCCACTCATTAACCTTGCAAAGGATCCTTTTAGCACATAATGGCTCAAGAAAATTATTTTAAAAAATGAAAAAGTTCCATACAGTGAGAAAATCCCAAAAGAGTTTAATACCATAAACTTACACAGCTTCTTTTTTTTCTCTTTTTCAGTTTCTATATTTGTTTCTCAACTGAGAAAAAAAGCTTTGATAACTGGAGAGGCAGTGTAAAAACTGCATCAGAGCTCTTATTAAAAACACTTTATTATAGTCTAATCTCAAAATTTTAAACACAACTATTTGTTCAGAACAGCAAACGGTTGACACGGGCAATTTATTGACGGCCAAACGGCAGCTTTTCATAAATAATTATCAACAAATTCACAAAACATACATGTTTAAGTGTCAATGCAAAAACTACAAACACACTTAAACTTTACTTAAAGATTTAAAGAAAAAAAAATTAAGTTGAAAGTTACTAATTCCAACAGCACATTTATCAGATCAAATACAACACCCTGCCTGAACAGAATCATATTTCTGAGCAGAGAAAAATCTGGAATTAAAAAAGGTGAAAAGTACTTGACTACGAGATGCAGGGTCTTTAGCTCTCTAAACAGGTCAGTAAACTGACAAACTAATTAAAGAAATAAAGCAAGTTATTTTTTTGTTCCAGTGATAAAATCTCTGATATGTGCGACATGAAGCTCTTTGCTTGTTGTGTCCGTGGAGCTCAGATTAATAAGAGGTTTGACAAACTCTATACGGCTTTTTCACGCTTCAATTATCTCATCAAGCAGCGGAAACGCTCCGTAGAAGACAGCTACACATTCTCCTGAATAATCAAATCCACAAAGATGTACTTACACACACACACACACACTCACACGTGCATGCACATGCACACACACGCAACTCAAGAAGATATAAAGCAGTAAACTAATCAGCTTTGAAATATTCTCAGTCTTGTGTGTTTGTGTGTCCATAAATGCGTGTGTACAGTCCATTAATCCCTATTAACCCTTCTGTCTGTTATCAACCTCTATGAGACTATCAGCCATACCCCTCTGAAGAGGTCAGAAGGGATAATAGGAGAAAGTCACTGATAGCGCTTGTTGTGCATGTGTGTGTGTGTGTGTGTGTGTGTGTGTGTGTTTGTACAAGTGCATGCAATTATCGGTGTGTAGAAGTGTGCACTTCCTTTCCCCATGTTCCTCAAAGTGCAAACAGTATCCATGTACACATTCACTCCTGCATGCATGCATGAGAGTGTGTGTGTGTGTTGATTAGAAAGCAGGTTGTATGGATTAGAGGATTATCAGCGCCTGTGTAAATGCTTGATGTTTGTTTATTCAGCTCTGTTTGTGGGAGGGATTTGGAAGAGGCACACTGCCATTGATCCAACCGGCCAAGGTGAGAAATGAACTAAACCCTGTTGCTTCATGCTTTAGTGGCTGAAGTTTGCATGTGCAGGTGGGGCAGACACAAAAGAAGAGTGTTATGCATCCATATGACTTGAGTTGAACTGGGGGAATTTATGACACTTTGTAATATGTTAGGAAGCTTTTAGAGGTGGTGAGTAGAATGTGGATCTGAGAGTGATGGTTATTTAAGCAGAGGGTATATGGTTGGGGCTGCTATGGGGAAAGGTGACGTTTCTTCTTTTTTGAATTCATGAGCCCAAAAATACGTTTGGAATCTGACTTCCAACATCAGGAGGCATCCTAGCCACATCCCCGAGCCACTTCAACTGGCTTCTCTTGATGTGGTGGTGCAGCCAATCTACTCTGGGCCCCTCCTGGATGATCAAGCGTCTCACCCTATCTCAGCCAGGCCACACTGTGCACAAAACTCTCTCTATGACCGTCCAGCGTGACTGGCCCACCGACAGCTTATTGAGCACTCTCACGACCAAACTCAGCCTCCAACAGTCTTTAAGAATTGTCAAAATACCTGCGACTCCCATCTGCAATCAACCAATGAAAATACACCCAGAGAGTCATGCTAAAACTGGGACGAAAGTGCAGTTCGAGAGTAGAGTTAGCTACATTAGCAAAAGTGGCGGCTACATGCAGAAATGTGTGAACCACTCCTTTTGACGTTTGGTTCACAGACTAATAAAAGAGGTGTTAACGCTGGCACTTTCTCTTTTTCATCCTTGTTATCATGGGCATCTGCCGGCTTTTAGTGGCTTGTACTTTTAGGCGAGGACATTATTGACTTTAACACGTCCTGCTAGGGCGAGACATTGAGCAGTTTCACTTATTGAGATTTTGGATTGTACAGTGTCATCCTCTACAGTCCTCCCAGTGAGACATTAAGCAGACCTTTGTAACAGCTAAACAATGCACAGTGTGAACCGAGATTGAGGGAAACCAGAAAGAAAAGTGGGAGTAAAACAAATTTCTTCTTTAAAATATGATTATTATTGTTACAGTGCAATATTCAACAATGTGCAACAAATAACTTGGTGTACCTGACCCTGAATAAAGTCTCATTTATTCTTGCCGACCTGCAAATTGTGCATCTAACCCTAAATTCTTGTACAATATATGCTTTTTTATTTAAATACACATTTTGCACTGCAGAAGGTGTTGCTTTCAATCTTATTGTACATGTGTAGTGAAAATACCTTTAATAAATCACACCCAGCTCCAAAATCTGACCTTTTGTTTAGACCCAACATGTTCACCAGACTTGAGTTTGGACTTGTTTCATTTTGTTAGGATGACTGTGATCCAGCTTGGAGCAGACAGACTCTAGTAAACGGGCTGAACATGAAATCATGACAGTGCTGCACTTAAAACGTTATAAGAGATTAACATACTGATATAGCACCCATGCTGGATAAGGAGAAGGCACATAAGGAGAAAAAAATCTGTTTGGAAAATAAAGTAACAGGGATACATTAAGTGTGTGAGCGAGGAATAAAGGGCAGTGGCGTGTGTGTGTGTGAGAGAGAGTTTTCTTTAGAGTAGAATATAGCGAGCAGAAGAGAGAATGATAAGGAATGATATATGCAGTGCTGCTGGCAGCTGTGTGATGGGGAGAGAAAAAGTGAAGCACGTTGGGAGTTGCTTCACCAGGGTGGCAGATGAAGCAAAATAGAGAAAGGTGATATTGTGAATAAAGGGGATATAGTGTGCAATGCAGATGACAGCCAGGCGGCAGAGGAGCCTTTATCTGTGTGTGACACAGGCAGCATAATACTATCACCTGTGTTCTCGTTCTCTGACCTCCTTCACTCTCCCTTTACACCTTTTCTTTTCCTCCACGGATGAGCCGGGCTGCGGTTTTTCTGCTCTGGTCCTGACGGATTGCTCTGCTTATCTCTTCCAGGCCTTTTCTCTCCCTCCTCTTCTCCCCGTCTGGGTGCTTTTCTCCTTCATTCTCCCTTTATTTCCCGTACAACGTACCAGAAAGCCAAACACTCGCTTGTCATCAGATGCTGTGTTCAAATACCTATCCATTTTACACTCATGAAAAACACACTCATTTCCCCAGACTCCCTACACAACTGTGCGGGGAGATGAAGACATATTTGTTGAGTCAGATACTTTTGTGATACGTCTTCCATCTGGTTGGAGGAATAAAGTGAAGGGAAGCACAGGTGTCCCCTGAGATTGAGCTCAACATCAAAAGCAGCAGGTTTTCTTTGCTGTTTCTGTATTCTGGTTGGAAAATGTATGCTGTTTAGAACGTGGGTGTTACCGCTGGAGAACAGGAACAAACGCCTGGTTGTAGGGATGCTATCAACCACTCTGTGATGGTATTTTATATGAGAGGTGGACTGGCCCATTAGGGTCTATTCAGATTGTAGTTGGTAAGAAAAGCCTTCAAGTACTGGCCACATATAAATGAGCTCATAAAATTTCCATTAGTGATAATGTGCTTGGTTATGATCATAAGCAGTAATTCCAGTTTACAGTTTTTAATTTATGCATTGAAATTTCGGGATGGTAAGAAACGCGTGAAGGTTTATCACAGCATTCTCCAACATTGG